GAACACCTACTATCAGGTCAGGGCTGTGGACTCTGGAGCAAGAGCTCTGGGTTCATGGGAGTGAAAGGGTTAGCCTGAGACCTTCTTAGACAATGAAGTAACTGTCTTCAGTTGATTATGATTTTGTTATGCATAGACTGCTAGTTTTCAGTTGGTTAGAAACAATCAACTTAATGTTCCCAAACATAAAGATTATATAATTTTGTTTGTCTAGTGAGTTGCATCAGTCTTTTTGTCTGAATGATGTGATATTGAAGAAATGTAAAATGGTTTCTGTGTTAACATAGCCTGATGTAAACACGCAGGAGGTTGGGAGAACATGAGATAAGTGTAGGAAACCATGACGCGATGGTTTCCAGCTTATTGAGTGTTCTCCCAACCTCCCAAGTGTTAACATCAGGCTATGTAAACATGGAAACCATTTTACATTTCTTTTATAAAATAACTAATGAAAGAGGAACAAAAACTGTATTTACATATGCTCATGTAAAATGGTTTTATGGCCAATCAGAGTGCACATACTATTTGAATTATTTTATAAACAGCTGTACTTGCTACACTCTTTCATGACAACTGCAAGGTTAAAATCCATCTTTAACAGTTGCTTAATGGTTTATCTTGGGAACTATCACCAAAACAATTCAACTGATCATATTGAATGATTAGCCCTTTCACTCCCAAGATCTGATTGTTTATTTTCCTCTCCAGCTGCTACAAATATCCTTGTAAATTTGTTACAAGAATTTGACATTGGACCGAGATAAATTCTTTTTGATTAGTTTGAGAATTCTCATTATCTGTTTGCTGCATAATGTATAGATATTATGGGAAGAAGTTACAAGTTAGTAACTTAAAATTGGAAGTTTAGGGGTTAATTAGATATGTCTGTCTTAAGACTATGTTAAGTGAGGAAGTGGCAACCTTTATTCTTCAGGAAAACAAATTGGTGACATGGAGTTGTTCTTTGGCTGCCGCAAAAAAAGTGAAGACTACATCTATGAGGATGAACTGTCGTCATATACACAAGATGGTACCATTTCAAAATTGCATGTGGCTTTTTCCAGAGATCAGGTAATTTCTTATTATGGTGCTGTCTATTGTCTCATGTCGATTAGGCTAATTTACCTTACACAAATTCATTAGAGGTATTTAAACTGCTACATCACAACGTCAGTATACATATTCTCTGTACTCTTCTCTATACATTTGCTAAGGTGCTGATAAGGAGAATTTGTTTTGTAAGCAGAGCCTCTTTAGTTGGTGATCATTTCCTTTATTCTTGTGATGTGATTGTTTGATTCAAGGGTGATATTGTGAGGAGAAATTAAATAATAATCACTCTTAAGGGTCAAAAGGTCAAAGAACAAGACTGGTAGCTTATCCTCATATGCTGAGTGCAGCCAAGGAGAGCAGCTGGGTGTAATGTTTTTTTCACTTTGCTTTTATGTTATATTTACAGGAGAAGAAGGTCTATGTTACCAATCAAATGACAGAGAATAAGGAGAATATTTGGAACATATTAAATAGTGGAGGCCACATCTATGTTTGTGGGTAAGGAACTTTTATTTGAGTGATATCACAGTTTGAGAAAAAGCAAATCAACTCAAAATGAAAAATCAGCAAATCAAAGTGCTGTAATTCTAATAAGTTGGACCTGATGTCAAAGCTTTTTTATATAAATGGACCACACAAATTTGGGAATCAGTTGGAGTTGGGTACAATTTTGAAAACAAAATGATAGCAACAAACTATGAATAACTGATGACAAGAGAAGATTTGATAAAAACTACCAAAGACAATCCATGGTAACTTTTCTCAGCTCAAGCTTGCATTGGTGATTGCAATTACACTTACAAAGATTGGCCAATGAAAGGAGCATTTTAGGGTGTTGTTTCAAATTATATGTATAGTAATTTACAGATCTCTATCAGTTGTTATTAGTTATTATTAGTATTTACATATTTCTATTATAAGTTATTACTCAGGCATTTTGATTGGTTCTTACTCATGATCTGTTGGAGGACAGATGCATAGATAATCTCACCATTAAAAACAATTTGCTTTTTTCATCATATGAAACAAATAGAGTCAATGTTGCAGTGGTTCTGTTCAGTAATTTATCACACAAGACATCAATATTTAGTGAGAATGTCAATGACACATTTAGCTCTGTATGGTGTGCTACCCTTCTGTTCTTGCCACATTTTGAGGTCATATTTGACCTATAAAACAGACAACATGCAATCTATTTTTTTCATTAAAGAAGGTTTTGTCGATTTAGTTTGATTTTATGGTATAAGAGTAATGCATTAGACTCACCAAGATGTAAGTAATTTGGGAAAAAATAGGAAGTACATGATCAACAGTTTAACTATTCAACTTCTATGTTTTAGTGATGCTCGAAACATGGCACGTGATGTGCACAACATACTGCTGACAATCGTCAAGGAAAATGGTAGCATGTCTGAAAATGAGGCAGCTGATTATGTAAAGAAACTCAGTGCAAAGGGAAGATACTCAGTCGATGTTTGGAGCTAAATTGTAGATAACCAGCCATTCCTATTGCAACATGGAATGTATGACTATTTTTTCAACACAGAAGGATAAACATCATACGTGCTTCTTTTTTTTTTGTTTTGTTTTTTTTTTTAATATAGTTTTTTGCTAGATTTGAAACGATTAGGAAATTGTTTTGAGGAATTTTATTTACGTTCCAAGAGCACTCTCTAAGTATGTTAGCCCTTTAACCCCTAAGAGTGATCAGCATTCAGTCTCTCCTTGCAATGTCATCCCTAAATTCAATGTGAAGGTCATAAGAATGAGGAAATGATCACCAAGTGAAAAAGCTTGTGATTGTGGAACATGTTCTCCTTGTTAGGTCCTGAGGAAATGTATAGGGAACTGTATGGAGAATATGCATACTGATGTTAGGGTGTGAAGGGTTAAGCCAAATTATTCTTTTGTTAATTTAGATATGAGGCACATACAGGTTTGCACATACTTTTCAAAAATATATGAAATAAATAATATTTAAACCAGGTCCTGTGGATGATGTGTGACAAATTGATCTTACTCAAAGGTAAACTTCAATGAAAAAAATTATTGCTGTAAAAAGGAACTCGGGCTTTGCTGGGGCCAGAATTTGTGTAAGGCAGAATTTCCTTTTCGCAGTTTACCTGGTAGAATTGCAAAAGCTCATTTTAAAGAAATCTAAAGATCTTGATTCTTTTTGCTTTCATGCAATTTTTCTGATGAATACCTCTGAAGTCAAAATTTCACATCCAATTGAAATCTTGAGAAAACAATTCTCTTTTCTTAGAGCAAGAAGTGTTAACCCTCAGAAATTTTCCAATAGTATTTTTCACAAAAGAATTAGTTAGTCAGTTGCCTGTATTTATAAGGAATAGAAGATGTTAGGACACATGCATGCTGGAAAGGACACATTTTTCTGCAGTTTGAAGGGCAGGAAAGTTCAAAGATATACAAATCAGAGCATGACTGGAGTTGAAGCATGTTTTTTGAACAAAAATTTTTAAGGTCCAAGAGAACTTTGAGTGTGAAAATTTTCCTAATGAGCATATTTTAAGATGATGTCTAAACTGGCTGAATCACTCTGCTCACAAGAAGTTTACATAAACTGTTTAGGGGCAATTTGTCACCTGAACTGTTGCAAAATTTCCAATTTGATGTTGAGTTAATGATTATATATATTTAATCTGTATCAAAATAAACAGTCCATGAGAGAGTGATGTAGTGAGGTAGTGATTTAGTGATACAGTTGTTGGGTAGCTAACTGAATAAACTGCATTCTCAGAAATTAGGGGATGAAGTCCCTTTGAACAAGGAAATTCCAAACTCTTACTTTATTATATGTAATTCCTTTGGTACAACAGACCCAAAATTGCCCTTTGTACTTGCCCAAAACACCAGTGAATCAACACCCAGTTTGGCTACATTTATCCCATTTATCCCTTTCAATCCCAAGATCTCAATTAGAAATTCTCCCTTTAAGTGTGATATACATTTTCCATGATTTTATTTCAGAGAATTTGGCATCAGATCAAAAAGTAATCCCCTAGTTGATATTTCACTTCATTCTCATCACTTATGTGTGTGATATAGCATTGAAGTTGTTGGGAGAAATTGTGTCTTGATCACTAGGTGATGGGAAAGGGTCAACTCCTCTAAGCAACATCATCTTGTAAATAAATTGTAAGGTACAAAACAATAAAAATAATGACCTATTTTATTTGTAGATCTTAGCAATACTTCAAAACTAAAAGACAAATTTCTAAATTTTTCATGCATTTCAATAGATATCTGTCAATGGCAGATTATGACAGGAAGGTACTAAAATATAAATATATTTTGCTTATAGTTCCACATGATCTTGTTTTGGGCCACTAAATTCTTCATGGGAAATAACACCATCTTTATCCTTGTCTTCATTCTCAAATATTTCTGATAAGATGGTTTCACGATGGGTATCATCTTCATTTGGAAATCCATCCTGTTCCTCTAGATACTTTTTTACTTCTTCTATGCTAAGTTCCTTGTTTTTATCTTTATCAATCATGCTAAACACATTTGGATAAGCCTCGGACTCTTTTTCTCCATCATTTTTTATTTCCTTTAGTTCAACATCGAAAAGCAGATTAGCCCCTGGAGGGATCACATCATCAACTCCTTCATTTCCATAGCCTGTGCAAAATTAAATATATTTAAATCAGTACATAAAACACATCTATGCCAGTTTGAATGATTAACAGGGTAATTTCTCTGATATGCGATGAACCCCTCCGGGTTCAATTTAGCTGGGTTCTACCGAACAGTTGGATGCAAAAAATTGCAACTTTCAACCCCTCTAAACTTGAACAAAGCAAAAAGTAGCAGAATATTCTTCTGTTTGATGACAAAAGCTCCCCCCCTCCACATCATATCAATTCTCCCCACTAATACATTCAAATAAATTGCAGAGATGGGAGAATTACTCATAAGATCATGGAATGCGTGATACACAAAAGGACAGTAACAATGATGTCTCTGTAGCTTATGTGACTCGGTTGAAATATGATCTGATAACTTGAAGAAAGACACGTAGAAATTTCAAGAAATCTGCTTTATTCTGATAATATCTGCTGATTGCTGTTTTCAAAATTTGTATTTAATGCTGGAAAGTAGATTGGTAATGGCTCTGTGCTCAGTCATCCCCATCTTGAAAAATGTTTACAAAGATCGTAGAAGATGGTAGCGTATTTAAAAGCACTCGTGGACGTTTGCATAATTTATAACAAAGGCAGCTTTGTGCGTTCTAGAATTTTTTGAAATTTCTGTTAAGATATGTCATTCTAAGCACTGGAACATAATGCTGACAGGGATTTTTCCATAAAATCTTCCTTCTGATAAATTGCCAAGTTCTTTCGATATTTATGATCGGACATTATTTGCTAAATACCTATAGCGGTGGATACCAATCGCGTAAAAACTTACCCAGGTATGATGGAACCCTAAGTTTTCTTTTCTCCCCAACACACATATCCTGCAGTCCTTTCTCCCAGCCTTGGATTACCTGGCCTCTTCCCAAGATGAAATCAAAGGTTCGTTGGCGTTTGTGGCTGGAGTCAAACACTGACCCATCTTTCTCAAGGCGGCCTGTGTATTCCATCGCAAGATAGTCACCATCCTTTGTTTTACGCGTGCATTCCTCTGGTTTGTATACGACTTCGATTGTCACTCCGTTCTCTTCCCCACTACACAGTGTGGAAACAAAAGCAAGCAACACCAGCAGGTTAATCCACTCCGTGAACCACATCATTAGGAAGTACTGGTCGACACTACCGCAAATAATTCGAAATTATTGTTCAACTTTGATTTTTATATGCTTCGGTCCCAGTTTCCCTAGTCATGACTTGGCCGGGTACATGGCCCCGGGATCAAACCTAACTATTTTAAGCGGGTGGATGTTTAAAATTAAGGCACCGCCGTGGTAGTCAGCGTTAGACGGGAGTATACTCAATTGGAGAACCTGTACAAAATTCCAGACACGAGAATTTTTCCCTCATGTGCATTTATCTTCAAGTACGTTCGATTTTGCTTCCTGCAATTCCGTAGTACCTGTCATAATTTCCCACCTCAAAGGAGGCAATTTTTGAAAACAAAAACAAGGTAAACGATAACAACAATGCAGTTGTCGAAGGCGGTATCGCTGTCACCAATAAGATTCAGTGGCGTATGTAGCTCGCACCAATCAGATTGCGCCAGGTATGCTGATGGCACCAATATGTAACGTCGGGTATGCTGCTTGTTCCAATCAAATTTCTCAGGGTATGTTGCTTTCACCAATCAGATTGCGCTGGATATGCTCCTGACACCAATCATATCGCGCCGTGTATGCCACTCGCACCAATTAGATTGCGCTAAGTATGCTACTGGAACCAATCAAGTTGCGCCGTGTATGCTGCTCGCACCAATTAGATTGCGCAGGGTATGCTGTTAGTACCAATCAGATTGCTCCGGGTATGCTACTCGCACGATCAAACTGCGCAGATATTCTGCTCGCACCAATCAGGTTGCGCTGTGTATGCTGCTCACACCAATCAGATTGTGCAGGGTATGCTGTTAGTACCGATTAGATTGCGCCGGGCAAGTTACTCGTACCAATCAGATTGCTCCGGGTATGCTACTCGCACCGATCAAACTACGCAGATATTCTGCTCGTACCAATAAGATTACGTAGTGTATGTTGCTCGCACTTGTCACATGCGCCGGATATGTAGCCCGTATCAATCAGATTGCACCGGGTAAGTTGCTCGCACCGATCAGATTACAACAAAAAATTATGTCGCTCTCAGCATTGGGGCCTGTTGTAATTTGTAAAGTATAAAACAAATTGCTGCCAACGTTCGAAGATAACTTTTGTCTCCCGAGTATTTAATTGAAATGCAGTGATACCTGTTGGGTGACAACGCTACTTCACGATTAATGGCAGGGTTATTTATTTAGCCTTGTTGTTGCCCATTTTGGAGAAAGTTAAAAAAATCAGTAAGGTAATATTTACTTTCCGCATCAGCGGCCGCATTAAATACCCGTCTCTTTGCTTTTGGAAGTTTAAACAGTATTTTTCCAAAGTTGGTCACTCTAAATTAGGCTTTTCGCTAAAAGTGATCAATTTACAGCAAACGACCTAACCTTAACAGCATAATCTAGCCCTACTGGAAAAAATTTACATGGCCCAAAATGCTACTGTCAGTTTTCAACTCAATCCTCACGCGCTTTGACGTTTCCTACAATCAAATTAGCTTTTAGCGATCTTGGAAGTTACTCCATTACGCGTCAATTCCTTGTAAACAACCTGAATTTTATTACGTATTTCCTACGCAGAGGGCAAAGTCCAGAAAGGCAACAACCAATCATAAGGCCCACGTGGTTATTCTATGTAAAAGCCTTTGAGATATGATGCTTTTCCCTTCTTTGAAAGAACGGTGGAAGGCGTGGCATATTTGCAGGTTGTTTCTATCATGGTTCTACAAATAACAGAGTCGATAGGCCACGCAATACCTTCTCTCCGAGGTTATTTTCAAATAAATTTTCTCCCTCTTTTATTGTGAAGTAACGTGATTTTTGTTTTCTTTGGAATGCTTTGAAAGCCAAAGCCCTTTTTCTTTTCCAAAAATGAAAACATCTGTTACACAGTAGGCCATCCCAACCCACCCATCCCAAAAAGGTTACAGGATCAATGTCAGTATCTGATCAACTGCGCACCTACTCCTCCCCCAACCAGTTCGCTGTTGTTGGGTTAGGGGAGGGGTAAGTGCTCAGTTGCAAATTACTCTTGCATATGTAGCATGCCTATGTTACGTTTAAAGTATTTAAGATTTAGAAGATACGGATTTCACGCGTTGAAAAACACAAAAGTATAGTAACATCTATCATCCTTCAAAGACCTTTGCCGCTTCCGATTTCATTCTCTATTTTCCATTTCCCGATTTCAAGTGATAATAGAACTTTCTGATAATAGGGTAAACAATTTTATTTAGTCACAAATAATACACAGTCAAACGATTTCCACGATGCTTGGAAATCTTCGAGGAAGATAAAATACTTTTTTACATTTTTACAGTGCGTGATATTATTTTTTTTTTCCATGAAGATTTACATGGAATGCTTAACGACATGGGCCGCTTCCACCACAGTAGGGCCTGATCTTTTGATGCGGGGGTCAGTTACCGGTATGGCCAGCCTGTAAAAGAGAGCGGATTACTGCAATTTCAATGCTGTGTTAGAAATAGCCTGGAAATTTAATGGTTTTCCTCTGCCCTATGATAAGTCGAAGAAAATCGTACCACCTGTCCAACCAATCAGATGCAAAACTAAATCCAGCCGCGACTCATACCAGAGTTCTCATTGGCTGCTTGCCATATTTTCCTACCACGTGATTGACCCTTGGGATTACTTTGGCCTAGATCGAAAACATTCATCCACAATACGTTTTCTTCCGTTTACTTTGGTATGATTTAATGCCACACACACTTACACATACACATAAAAAGCAAAAACAAAAACACACCTGACGTTGGTTTTGCTATTGACAATAAAAAGCGGGTTGTATTGACTAAGTATCTCGTCGTTCACGGAAATTCCTGAAAATGAAGACAAAACGCCCATATCAATACACGGTCCATGATCTATATATGTGAAAATAGGAAGAGATTTCTAACTCTGTAAACTCGGTCCCTGAATAAAATATCAAGAGTTTACTCTCAATATTTGTACAAGATAGGATTGCGTGAGAACCAGCGTGTTCTCGACAACTCAGCATGTTGATACTTCTGGATCAAACGCAAAATTAGAGCTTTTTCAAAGACGAACACTCACCATCTAAGTACTGTTTGAGGACAGCCCTGAGTTGCTGATTTTCTTGGAGAAGGGTGTGCTTCTCTTTATCAAGAGCTAACTTATCAAGTAAAACCTAAAAATAACATGACTGATGATAAGTAACTGATACTGCAACAAATTCAACCTCTAATTTCAAACATTAGTACAACTTTCATTTGTATCCAAAATAATCTGAGATTGCATTGGTTGTAATTTTCTCCGCAGTTCCTGAAAATTCGTGCTATCTTCAACCAATCAGAAACAAAACTTCCCCAATCCCGACTCGGTGTGCCGCGTTGTTCTGCGCTTCAAAGAAATTTTCAACTGAGTGTCAAAGGCAATCCGACATTGCATTGAGTTTGCTTTACTTCGCTCTGACCAGGTTCGAAAACTTGCGTCCGGGGCTTGCGTCACTAACTCCACCAATGAGATTCAAAACTAATGTTAATCAAGACCTGGTCGCCCGCGTTTTCCCGCGCTATAGGCAGTTTGGTTGTTTTAACTTTGAGTTCTCATTGGCTCTTTAAGGTATCTTCCTTTCTTCTGATTGGCTGTCGTTATTACTTTGGTTTTAGTTTGACGACACGTAATCGAAAAGCCCTTCATTATTCTCTCTTTCTATGATTCGCTGTGGGAATTGCTTTCGTTTTAGTTCACCGACACCTTATAAAAAAGCGCTCTAGGTACTGCTTGACTTTTGATTCCAGCCTGAGGCCTTTTTTTGGGCTTTACAAATTGGTAGGGCGAAGATCAATTTCTTACCTTGTTGTACCTCTTCCAAAAGTTCTCTAATGCAGAATACTCATGTAGAATCTGATAAAGAATCATTCAATATAGTTAGAACTTAAACAGAAGAGAGCCATCCATTTTAATTTTGCAGTTATTAAATGGGCACCGTCCAAATGCGATAAAACAACCGTGACACAATCCCCAGTGGCTCACGTGCCTCAGTTTTGTTCTCACCACATTTTGACTTCATCTAAGATCTTGGACTGAAAAGACACACGATAAATGTGAATCTAGTTATTAATAAGTAATCTAGATTTACATTGGTTTTGCTACACTCTGCTCTGTGATTGGTCTAAAAAAACTCGCGCGACCCTCTCAATCAATCAGACGCAAAATTAAAAAAAAAAACCCATCATGACTTGGTCACCCACGTTCTCCCGCGTTTGAGGAAGTGTGCCTGTATTTACGTTTGAGTTTGTTCTTCTGATTGGCCATTCTACAAGCCTAACTTTTTTTTAAACAACAATTGATCAAGAGGACAGATGAACGTTCAAACTGCGTATTTTGTTACCTCGGCAAGTGGCTCAGAGGGTGCTTCCTGCATAGCGGCGGCCACGTCATCTTCCTCTTCTGGCAAAAGTGATGACACATAGAAAGGCAACACCTTCTCGGCCTCTGTTTCCAGTTTCCGGCACATTTCAGCCAGCTTTAGGATAAATTCACCCTAGAAACGTGAAGGGGACTTTAATCTGTATTCTAAACAGTTAAATTTAAGACTCATCGGGTATTTGCCAGTTTTAATTAAATTCATACTACAGAAAGAAAGATGGCGAAGGAAAGAAAGACGCTGTTTGTGTTGTCATGAGCTTGGGACGAGTTTCCATGAGAAGTCGAACCCAAGACTTTTAGATTCCGCGCTCCGATACTCTGTCACTGAGCTTAAGAGACGATTGAGTGACCTAAGTGATTACTAGTTTCATCTGTGACAAACATCAAGGATCACCGATATCGAAAGCATCGTATGAGCAAACAGAACTTTATATATGGCAAATTTGGAACTTACATGAGTAAAAAAGAAATACCAACTGCCAAGATAAGTAATGTCTCAAGACCCAAAAAGGGCTCTCAACCCCCTTTCCCCCCCCCCCTTATAAAAAGGTAAGATATTTACCCTTTCTTTGGTCTTTGTAAGTTCTTTTATGGCTGCATTGCTTTGAAGTGTCAGCTGGGTCAAACGTGATCTACGGGAAAAACGGAACAAATTTAAAAGAACTCAATTACCAAGTTTTTAGCCAAGCCTACATCGTGATCTGAATCTGGGTTTTTCACCCTACATTGTCTCTTTAACCCTTTGACCATTAAGAGTGATTAGCAACTAATTTCTCCCTATGATATCACCCTTGAATCAGACATCAAAGTCATGAGAATAAAGGAAATGATCACTAACTAAAAAAGCTCTTGACTGACGACAAAATTCTCCTTGTCAGCACCTTAGGAAATGTACTGAGAGCAGTATAGAGAATATGCATACTGATGTTAGGGCGTAGAGGGTTAAAATCAACCCATATCTAGGGCTCATATTGGTATCCCTGGTGAAATTGGCCAGCTTTTGGGTGCTCATTTAAATCAAAGGTGAGTACGCCTGAAAGAAGGGTGGCAGAAGTGTAAGTTACAATTCCTTCCTTCTGCAATTCTCAGCCAAACTGCCAATTTCATAGTTGCATTCACATTTTGATATCTTTATCTTGTGTATACTTGACTCCCTATTTATGTCAAGCACCACTTATAAATTATTATTGCACACACTGGAAAGAATACAAACCTTTCTGAATCCCTCATTTTGTTCATTTCTGCTTTGAGTTCATGGAACTGAGTAGCAACTACTTCTCTTTGCTTGGAAAAGATAAGAATTTTTACAAACTATTAATCCAAGGTTTAAATATAGATGTATAAGCTGCAAGACTTAAACCATGTTATCAAGTTGATCCTCATTGTAGAGCAGAGCAGTTTTTGAATATTTGGGCAAAAATGGAAAAAAAAGATAATTATTATCATGGTTTCAATCATGGTTTTGGTCTACAGCTGAAGTGCTCCTCTGTTTATGCAGCTACACTGACAAGTTATTCCCACAAATTAGGTGATAAAACAAGGTACCCAAAGCTCTTTTTCAGACTCACCTCTTTTATGAGTCTGTTCCTTTCATCACATTCTTTAGCATTTGTTGCCATTTTACTTTTAAGCTGAGAAATGTTGTCCTGAAAGACAAATGTCAGTTTTGAAGTGTATAGTTTGTGGAAATGTGCAGATATTCAAGCATGAGGCCATCAAATTTTTACGGCAAGATAATATATTATTGATCACCTGTATTCTTTGCAGTTTTCTCATTTGGGTTTCTATTTCATAAGAACTCTTCTCATCTTTAGCTTTGAGATTTTCAAAAGCCAATTTTCTCTCCTCTGTTGTTTCATTGTAATTCTTGAGTGCCTTTAAAACAAAAAGCTCACATAAGATCCAGGTACATACAATTTTCAATAAACATAATATGTCAACATCCATGTTTTTCTTTGTTTTTTTTTTTGGTGCTAGTAAATGAGTATGCAAGGGGAAACAGAGAGTGTAAGTGCTCCAAATGGAGAGAAGCCACAGCTCTTTTAAAATTTGCTTGTTCTCTGTGATATTATTCAAGAGAAAAAACCTTTTGTGAACAGGTTACAGTCAAGAAAGTAGCAAAGAAAAACACTAACACACTTCAAACTGGTTACAAAATGGATATGACCAAGTAAGTTTTCTTTACATTTGTCAATCAATTGTACTCGAGGTAAGATGAAATAATTATAAACTTACCTGTTGAAATTGTCTCCATAAATCCTCCACTGTTCCTTCCAGTTGTATTCTCAGAGCATGTTTCTCCTCCAGGTTCTAGCAAACCAAGACCAGAATAATTATTATACACTGCTTTTAGATTATTTCAAACAAAAGTAGCAATAGGGTATGCTTAATATTTTACCTACTAATACATGTATAGTGGTACTGACTGTGCACATCAGATCAAGGTAATCTGATTTATGCATTAAATGAAAAATATGCTAAGGTATGCCAACATGCAAATAGAAGTTAATTAATAGTACATGTAATGCATTACTTTGTTTTTTATTTCATCTCTAAGACTTTGAAAATCTTGCTTAGCCTCATTTTCCAGTTCATTCCATTCTTCCTCCATTGCAAACATGATGTCCTGAATGTCATGCATCTCCCTTCTCTGTTGGCTTATGATCTTCATTCTGAAGTATAACACATTGTTTACTTAATAAGTAGTATGTAATAATAATGGTTGTGTGACTGAGTGGAGTCCAATTCATTCTGTAATCATAAAAGTGATTAATAAAATTGGATGTCCTCTAAGTGGACGTCTGATTTGTTAATCGCAAGTATGATTAAAGACCAAATTGGATGACACAAA